GGCGAGGGGCGCGGGGCGGGGCCCGGGCCGGGGCCGCGGCCTGGGCGCACGGACCTCCGGCCTCCTGCCTCTGGGCACCTGGCGTCGGCCGACTGAGTCCCTCAACTCCTCCACGACGCAGCCGGCAAGCCCAGACCTGGAGAGGCCGGGAGCCAGCCCAGCAAGGAGAGAGAGGCGGCAAGCCCGGCCTGGAACACCCCGGAACGACGGGAGCTGGCCTGCTGGGGCAGCCCCCGGAGCCCTCAGAAAACAGGAAATTCCAGCCCAGGGCTCCTCCTCAGATTGGGACAGGTAGTCGAGGAGCTGTCATTAAGAGCAGGCCAAATAAATAACAGTCCTCCGCACACCACAGATGGCCCTGTGTTGGACGGAGTGGGCCATCCGCACTTTCTCCAAAGGAAGACTCCAAAGGGGATACACCAAGGCCGGAATTAATGAAAGTGCAAATGAAGAGTCAAGGACGCAAATCACGTGCCTTCTCCGGGCCTCAGTCTCCTTATCTGTAAAACGGGGAGCCTGAACGAGGCCATCTTATCTAAGTTTCTGGCTCAGACATTCTGACGCCGGGAAACTCGAGAATCAGAGTTGCTGGATGCTCCCAGCAAGTCCGCTGTCTGCTAATGACTGAAGCCATCTTCTTCCTTAGGATTCTAGAATCGTGTGGACCGGGTTAAGTGCTGTCCTGCCTAAAGGCCGTGGAAAATCAAAACCTCTGGACCTGGACCATACAGTTCTGGATGGGAGACTCACTTCTAAATCCCTTGAGTCTCTGGTCTCCAGCCACTCCTGGGTCTCACCTCCTGTCCAGAGGTGGTCCAGAGGTCGGCTGGCTGAGCAGAGGTGGAGCATGAGCCTGCAGTACTTGTGGGAGCACCGATGCCCTGTGACTTTCACGCGTGTGGGCTGCGCCACCAGACGCTCACTGAATGCAGGGCTCTCCCCAGTCCTCCCCCAAGGCCCTGGAGATGAGCCAGTCCGCCATAATCCACAGGGACCCCGAGCAGATCAGGAGAAACCAGTTCAGGTAGTGGCAAGGATGAGGGGGGCTTGCGATTCCCTTAAAGAGATAATGCTCCCAGGTTTCCTCCAGCCCTGGTCCAACCCAATTCCCGACTTCCCTCTCAGCTTTAGAATTCCACCGTCCTGGGCAGAAGCAAAGTACGAGATAAAAGCGGCACATTCCAGAGCGGGCTGGAGTGGGGGAATGCCTGAGGAAGGCAGGGCCTCCCCATCCTAGGTGCTCCCGCAGAAAAGTGGGAGACTGCCAAGTCCCGGGCTGGATCACCTGGAGGTGCCCCGGGGGGAACTCCGTCTTTTCCGGAGACTGGTTATTAACAGGGATGAGGCCAGCTTCCTCCTCTCTGGGTGCACAGTCCCCACATAACAGATGGTTCAGCCAAAGGGTCTTTCCCAGGATCCTTCAGGCATGGCGACGAGAACACGACCCGGGAATCCTGACTCACATTTCCAAGTCGGAGACTCCCACACTCAATTTCCCTATCTGCATGTACGCCTGCCTGTGTCTCTGTCTCCCTCCCGGAATTACTCCTCTCCAGAAGAAGAAGGCTGCTCACTGCAAACCCTCCCGCCAAGCCAGTGAAAATGCAAGCACAGGACAGCAAGCCTGAAGCTGTCTGGGGACTGAGGAAGGATGGAGGACAAGGGGCCCGAGAAGGCACGGGCTGCTCCTGGTGAGAGGGAAGCAGGATGGGACAGGATGGGGAAAGATCCCCAAGTACCTGCGCACGTATGCACGCGCGCGTACACACACACACACGAACGTACGCGCGCGTACACACACGCGCGCGCGAGGGCTCAGGGAAGGCAGGCAGCAGTGCCTGACCCCAGAAGCACACGGACACTGCACGTTCTCAGAGGACACACCAGCTCCCCACTCCCATCGCGCGTGCAGAATCAGCCTGGGCAAAATGGTCAGTCCCCAAGCCAGCTTCCTCTTCCTGGCCTTTCTTCTCGGAAACCATTCCTGACCGGAAGACACTAAGCGGAGAAGACACCTGCCTACACATAAAGTACCAGGGCATCAAGCCAGTCGAAGGCCGGAGAACGGTGTGGGCGCGAGCCTCGCCTCCTCGTTGGCATCAGCCCCCGGCAGGGACAAGGTCTCTGCATTTGACAGGTGAGATCCTGCGCCCCAAAAAAGCGGCAAAACACAGCTCTGCTCGACGCAGCCCGAAGGGAATCAGGACAGGCCACGAAGCCCCAGGCCGAGACCAAACGAACAGCACAGAAATCCCATAAAACCAGCCTCAAGCCAGCGCTGGTATCTGGTTGTCAGAAATGCCAGGCTAAACCTGTTGCTTGGGGGGGAGGGGTCTCCCGTGGAAGCTTATGGGGGAATCAAAGACGCGATGTCCCGCGACACTGGCCATGAGCATCTGGGGTGAGACTGGACACGTGCTCCCCTGGATGCAGAGTCTCTGAGCACCCATGGCAGGATGAGCAGACGGGCCTCAGGCGTTCTGCCCTGGGCATACAGGCATGTGTCTAGGGACAGTGGGGACACACTATGGACAGCATCGGGGCAGCCAAGGTGAAGGAGAAAGAGCCAGTGCCGGCGTGACCTGTGAGGCGCTGCCGAAGCAGGTGCTGGTCCTGAGCGAGGCCAAAGCGTGGCCTTGGCCTAGGAATCCCACAGAACCTGCACCTCGTCCCCATTCACATATTTGCTGGGTGATCCGCTGATAAGCATTGAGGTGTGCCCAGCAGAGGCCACGCAACCCTCAAGGAGCCTGCGATGGCCCTTGGAAGTGGAAAGG